CGTGAATGTTTCTATTTCAATATTATGTGGATCATATCTTTTACCAGAAATCTTAACTATCTCTTTATTTTGTTGAATATTTATCAGTGTCCACAACAAAAAAATATATATTTTTATTTAGTTAACTGTCAATACATCCTATTATCCTCAGGTATGGGGCAAATTATTTTTCTAAGTACTTTCAAAAATAGTTAACTTAATTTTCTTCTAAAATTTCTGAAAATCAAACATTTTTCAATAGGCCTCCAGTTCTGATTCCATGAGCAGGCCTAGTATGTCATGGTCACCACATATCCACGAATGCAACAAGGGTAACTTTAAAATTATGCCAATATATCAAACAGATGATTACTTTTACTATCAAACACAAAAAAAAAAAAAAAAACTTTTTTTTTTTTTTTTTTTTTTTAAGCGTTTCACCCCAAGCAAGGCGAGAAGCCACTAGGACGCAAGGGGTTACAGAAAAGTTGGAGCAAGATCAGATAGAAGTGATAGAGGAAAAGATGAGGAGAAGGATAGATCAAGGCAACTGGAGATGTCGATTGACATTACATTTGAATAGCTGGAGATTATAGCTATCAGGGAAACTGGAATAGGGAAGGGAGTTCCACAGGCGAGAGGTGCAAGACATGAAGCTATTGGAGTAGAAAAGACGGCTACATTTAGGAGTTTTGACAGTGAAAGCGTGAGAGCGGTATACCAGCCTCGTAGGGCGCTTGAGCTCATGAAGTCTGGGAACCAGCGAATGCAGCTCCTTGGATGAAAGTATTTGTAAAAAAGACAGAGAGAGGCGACGACGCGTCTGTGAGAGAGTGACTGTAGACGAGATGCCAGAACAGGGCCATTTATATTGCATATCCACCTCTGGAGCCTATCAAGAACCCCGAGGCAAACAGAGGGGGCTCCAGACCATATATGGCAGCAATTCTCCATGCAAGGGCGAATTGTTGATTTGTAGATCTGGAGGATTGATTCTGGGGAGAAAAATTTCCTGGCATGGCACAGGGAGCCAACTTTCCTTGTGGTGAACAAAGCAATTGACTCAATGTATTTGTTCCATCTCAGGTCAGCAGTCAACTTGAGACCAAGCAGCTGCAGAGAGGTGCTCTCAAGAAGTTGAGCGGCAGACATTCTAATGGAGGGCATGGAAGGATCTCTGTGGTGATTAAGAGAGAGCAGTTTTGTTTTTGAGGCATTAAAGTTGACCAGCCAATTCCTGCCCCAGTTCACAACCGATTGGAGGTCTTTTTCAAGACGCACGGCCAGGTTAGTTTTGTCAGTGACACTAGATTTGTTTTTGAGGCAGGAGTAAATTGTGGTGTCATCCGCGTAGATGCCAACTTGGGAATTTATGGCGTCAGGAAGGTCATTTATGTAAATAAGGAATAGAGTGTGGCCTAGGATGGAGCCTTGAGGAACACCTGCATTCGTGGGATAGGAACTGGAGGAGAATCCGTTGAGAACGACCTACAATTCATGGTTTGACAGGAATGATTGTATTAGGTCAAACAATAGACATGTAATGCCATAACCCTGGAGCTTGCGAAGAAGGCCGGCATGCCAAACCCTATCAAACACTTTGGAGATGTCTAGGGCCATGGCACGAGCTTCCCTGTTATTTTAAAGAGCTTGGTAGACAGTTTCAGTGATGGCTGTAAGCACATCAGCTGTAGATCGGGCAAAGTGGAAGCCATATTGCTTGTCTGAGAGCAGATCATGCGATGTAAGGTGGTTAACCACTTTGGTATTGATTAGGGCTTCGAAGACTTTGCCAAAGAGGGGTAGGAGACTGATAGGATGGTAGTTAGAAGGGTCAGAGGGGTCGCCAGAGTTCTTGAAGACAGGAACAATCAAAGAGGACTTCCAGCAGTCAGGAAAACAAGATTCCTTGAGGCAGTAGTTATATAGTTTAGAGAGGGCGAGTTCAGGCGCGCATTTCTTCAAGACAATGGCTAGTATCCCATCTCAACAACTAGCCTTGTTGGGGTCTAAATTGGAGATAATGCCCAATACCAAAGACGGGGTTATGTGTAACCCACTCAATAGGGCCTCAGTTCTAAGAGGGAAGTCAGGTACACCGGAAGAGTCAAGCGTTGAGTTGAATGAAAATTTCCGAGCAAAGCATTCAGCCTTGTTGGCAGAGGAGGTCAGGACTTAGAACTGGTTGAACAAAGGAGGTAAAGAGGGTTTGCAATTGTTCAATACGCTCTTGCAGAGACGCCAATAATCTTTGGAGCCAAATTTCCAAGATGCAATATGCTCCTTCATCCGAGCAGCAAATAGTGACTTAGCATTGTTGGGGACACACTTACACTCGTTACGGGCGGAGGCAAAGAGACGTCTATTGCAGTCAGACATGTCGCTATGGAATAGGTGAAAGAAGTGGTTCCTATGGGGGATGGTGGCTGAGCAAGCAGCGGAGAATCAGGGGAAGGAGCACGACTTGACCCTATATTTCCTTGAGGGGATGAAAGCGTCGATTCCAGCTTTAACCCAGGATGAGACCTCAGAAGCACATTCTTGGACAGGGAGCATAAAGACAACATCCCAGGGGACATCGTGGAGGAAATCACGGAACGAGTCCCAGTCAGCTCGTTGATAGTAGAATGAAGTTCTAGTGGTAGGAGGTTCTTTGCAGGGGGTGGAGTTGAAGGAGATGTTAACAGATACTACCGCATGATCAGAGTTACCAAGAGGGCAGAGTTGCGTGGCGCTACAAGACTCAGGGATGGAGGTAAAACACAGATCGAGAAGAGAGGCTTTACCTTCCTGGTTGAAGGCAAAACGAGTGGGGAAGTTAACTATCTGCGTGAGGGATTGAAAGATTGAAAAATTGAGCGTTTGAATGCCTGCGTGGTCAGTAGTAGCATTCTTAAGCCACATAGTATGATGGGCGTTAAAGTCGCCAAACACAAATATGTGAGCAAATGGTTGGAGGGAGAGAGCCTTGTCTATGCTGTCAGAAATGCTATCAAGTATCCCACAGTCTTGAGAGGATGGAGAGCGATAAAGGAAGAACAGATAGCTTACCGCATTGAGAAGAGATAGGAGACACATGTACGACTGGTCTGGCGATTCGAGAGACAACTCTCTGGCCAGAGGGAGATGGTCCTTGACGTAGACACCAAGGCCGTGCATGTGGGTTAGAGAATCTTTTCTGAGGAGAAGAAGGTAGCCTGGGATCGAGAGATCAGAGGAGGGGATAGACAAGACAAGGTTGGCCGGGATAGACAAGACAAGGTTGGCCAGTATATCCAGGCAGTTTGCAGTGAGATTCCATACTGCAGAAGTTTGTTCTAATGCCACAGATGTTGGAGAACAAAATGTTGAGGGGTTTAGGTGATTTTTGAGTGGCTGGTTTAGGATTACTTTTTCGGTCTTTGTAAGTCATGTGGAATTTTGGTTGGAAGATGAGAAGGCCCGAAGTAATTGGATCAACAGTCAATCCTCCGCCCTCACCAAATAGTGGGCTTGGGAGACATGCTATCAATAAAATTAAGAACAACAGGAGAAAGAACCTGTGAAAACAATTCCATGTTCAGACATTTTACCAAGCAAGATGATTCGGCCAACTAGATCATGAGAATACTGACGAGACATTGTTAAGTTCTGGAAAGAAGGTAAAAGTTATAGGAAAATCTCAGACAACCAGAATATTCCATTTACAACCATTAGTTCATTCATTGCAAGGTATAAAAAACTCTAAACTGTTGAAAACCAAAGAAGAGCAGGTACTCCACAGAAAATTTCTGCAAGCTCTTTGAGGAAATTAATGCGTCAAATTAAACAAAATCCAATGGTTACTTGTCAAGAGTTGCAGAATGATTTGCTTTCATCAGGAATCTGTGTCACTAAATGGACAATAAGCAATGAAATTCATAGGAACAATCACACTTCCCTTGGAAAACTCAACTGCTATTGAAAAGAATGAGAGGTGCCAGGTTGAAAATCATTTGTGAACATAAGGATAAGGAAAAATCATATTAGGAAAGAGTATTATGGACACACAAAACAAAACCCGAGTTGTTTGGACGTAATTCTGGAAATCAGGTATGTAGGAAAGATGGTAATGCTGTCAAATGAAAGAACATAGTTCCAACAGTGAAATTTGGTGGTGGCAGCATCATGGTTTGGGAATATTTTTCTGCAAAAGGTAATGGGAACATATCAGTTAAAGATGGTAGAATGAATGCTGTAGCATATCAAAATATTTTGGAAGCAAATTTAATGATTGCAGTTGTAAATCTTAAACTTCCTCCTGACTGGATCTTCCAACAAGATAATGATCCTAAGCACACTGCAAAATCTACGAAAAAAAAATGGCTTGCTGAAAATAATGTAAATATTCTGAGATGGCCAAGTCACTCTGCAGATTTAAACCCAATCGAGAATCTGTGGCGTTATTTGAAAATTCAAATCCAATCAAGAGCTCCAACAAACATTCCGGATCTGAAGACCATATGTGAAGAAGAATGGAACAAAATACCAACTAAAATTTGCAAGACATTAATTGAGAACTGCAAGAGGAGATTAGTTGCTGTAGAAGTGAATAATGGCTTTTCTACAAAGTATTAAATGAAGATTATGTATTCTTTTTTTGTATTGTATGAATACTTTTTTCACCCATTAAAATGGATAAATGCGATTTATTTCTATTAAATCAAAATTTGATCCGTTTTCTATTCATAATTAATTATTATGCATCTGTGTATAGTGAATTATATGAAAAGTATATTTATTCATTAGTTGGAAATGCAAAAATTTGTACATGTATGAATATGTTTCCCCACCCACTATATAAAAAGGGATGCAACTTTCATAACTGACAAGATTTGAATGTACAAAATTCACCACCAAAAGGAGTTGAACAAATAGAATCTTTCCAAAATTCAAGCATATTTCTTGCATACTGCACATCAATAATTTATTGTTAAAAGATTATCAAGATGCTAGTGATGTTTTGCAGCACTGAACATAAATGACATTGTTCAATGACCAACCTGAGAGAAACATTTGTTTAACTTTTTTTTGGCTTCTTCAAGACGCTCCTTAAGAGTGAAAACTTCCTCTGCATGTTCATTTTTGCTTGCCTGTAATTTTTCAGTCAATGAACTCATAATATTTGTGTCAGCATCTCTACAAAGGAAAAGAAAATGTTAAAATGCTTAGTGGTGATCATTCATTGAAATCTCATTTAGTTCAGGAGAAAAAAGTAGTACTTTGGAAATTTAAGTTTTTAGATTTTTTAAGTAGTATTTTCAGAATGATACCTAATCAACAGAATCTAGCTGTTAAAAATAACCACTTTCTCATCAAATGTAACACAGTGTATATTCCCATTTTAAAGTATAAGTGTAAGTCTACTTTACTAATTAAACTTATAAAAAACAAAAATTTAAAAAATTCCAGAAATACAAAAATCAGAAATTATGAAATAAAAGTAAGCAGTAAGATTGTTTGTCCAAAAACTGGGAGTGATTAAAAAATAATTCAAACAACATACCTGGCAATCATTTCTGCATGAAGACGTTGGTCAACATTTTTCATATCTTCTTTACGTTGGGTAAATGCCTTCCGATATTCTTGCCTTAAGAGGAAAAAATAAAATTGCTACTGTTACTACTACTACTTACTCCCTCCAAATAAAGCCAATTATTTATATCCAATTTTAGCGCAAAAAAAGAAAAAAAAAGAAAAGGAATCATTTTGAGTAATTTTTGTTGATAAAGCATTCATCAGATATTCCTCAAAGCACAAAGTTTCTCAGAATCTAAAAATTGATTTTAAAAGGGGGGGGGGTCTGTTCATAATATAAATAGCGTCAAATTGATCCTTAATTTAAAAAAAAAAAAAAAAAAAAAAAAATTGTGCTTTTATTTACAAATATCAGATTTGAAACTGGGCCCATGTCATAGATAACCGTGTACTACTGACAATGTCTTTTTTCTTAATTCTTAATAAAAGTTATGAAACATTTTTTTTACTTTGAATACGCATGAATATTTTTTTAAATTCTAGGAGTGTATAATAGAGTTTAGCAGTATGTTCCAAAATATTATTGAAGATATCATTGTAAGTCGGTGTCATATTTGCATACACAACAAAAATTCATAAAATAGGAAGGTAACAAACAAATGAACCCCATGACGGTATTTTGATTTTTTTTTAATTTCTGAAAAACAGATTTATCTTAAATGAAGAACAAACATTTTTATGTGATTTATTTTAATATTTAAAACAAGCAGTTTGTGTAGCAAAAATAAAATTATTTAAAAAGAAAATTATTAAAAACAAGCACTTATTTAAAGAAAACTTTTGTAAATTTATAAAAGTTAAGGTGTAGCGTTTGGAACTTAAAATAAATATTAATTATCTACGTTTGTACAAAAGGCTTCTGTAATAAATTCAAAACTAAAAAAGAAAATCAGATTTAAACAAAATTAATTTTAAAAATGTAGAAAATCCCTAACTGAGAAAAATGGACATCAGTAATACACAATTATCAATGACCGAGATTGAAATTTATTTTATGATACTGTATTTCATGAACATATTTATTTTTTTGATATTTAAAAATTAATTTCATAAATTAGCCTTTTAATTCAATATTTAAAAATAAAAGTTTTTCATTTTTATTTATCTTAAAAAAAGCTAGAAGGACCAGTCAAAACAATATATAAAGAGAAAATTAAGAATTAAACAATATATAATAGGGTGTTTGAAAACATCATGATACTAATGACGTGACAATTCCCCACAGTACTAACAGTGAAAAAGAAAATGTTTCCATGGCCATTCTAAATAACCATTGTAATAATTTCCCCCACATTTACAATACTTTATTAATCAGTTAAAAATATACTGAGCCGAGCATAAAATATACAATTGCTTCATTTTTCAGAAATAAATTAAAAACAGAAAACTGCCAAGCTCAATACTGATTACACTATTATTAAATGGCACCAAAATAAGCAGCATTTTTAATGATAGGGAGATAGGTTTCTAGTAAAAGAGTGCCAACTGTAAGTTCTCATTCTTTACTTATGAGGTCTGGAATCATTATTCTCCAAATAAAAATCACATTTGATGAATTCATGATTTCACAAATGAGAAAGCATCCATGAATACAGTCTCTTTTCATGGTATCTTATCAAAGATAAGTTTATTAGAGACTACAGGAAGAAATAATGTGCAAACTGTCTTGTTCCTAAAATTTCCCTCTGGATGAGGATAATCATTTTTAATCAGCCTTCGTATAACACACTGCACTTTGTATAGAAATAAGTCAGCTTGCCAATGGTTTCATTAGTATTGACAAAATTCATGTACAGCCCAAATGTATTTGAAAGACAAGCTACTCACGTGACATTGCTCCATTCCATTTCCTTTTCTTCATATTGTTTGATGATTCCTTCATAGTCAATGATCTGCAATTCCATCTCCTTACAAATGTGCTTCATGCTTTCAGTCGTCTAAAAGTAAACAAAAAAAAAAAAAACAAATGTAAGAACATATAAAGATCTTGGATTCCCGGTCTGATGGCTTCTAACAATTTTCAAATCACAATTACATAAAGAGAATTTAAATTTAAAACAGATTAAGAATATTATTAGATAGGAATATCAGTAACATTCTGAAGCAGTTGTACTGCAAACAAAAATGTTAGATTTCATACAATTGATTTTGAGAAAGCTAATCTTGTTAAGTAGTAAATATCATTATCAAATAAAAATGTGTCAGGGTAAAAAGAAAAACCAAAAAAATGAAGTTCACATTTACTTACCCTTTTCTCAGCCTCAATCTGATGACGCAAATCTTGCAATTCATCAAGCAAAGATTGCTTCTCCATTGCAAGGGAGCTTTTTTCTCGCTCAGTTTGTTTGTACCGGTCTTCATATTCCTTAAAAAAGATGATAAAGTGTGTGTGTATGTAGAAAAGGATAGAGTATTTGTAGATATAAAAAGCAACACTATATGGTGATTGACAGTTTTGTGTTTTAAGCAGTTATCAGATCATTATGATTGCTTAAAGTGTGCAACTGCCAGTCACTAGGCACTGTTGATTTCTATGTTCAGTGGGTGTGTGTGTGCACATCCATAACATGCTATATGATAGCATGATACAAAAATATAAAAATTACAATAAGACAGCTCTTTGTAAACAGCACAACACTCAACCAAAACTAAAAATTAAAAAGCATACCAAAAATGTATACTACCACATTTGAATTTCATTTAATTTTTTTCTTCTTTGAGAAATACTGAAGCTCAGAACCATAACAAGAACAATCATGATTTGTAAACAGTTCCTTACACTTTCAACACAAAGATACAAAAACTAATCTGCAAACAAGAAAAGCTTAAAACATTATTTGTTTGCTAAGAAAACGTGTATATTTTATGTGTGTGTATGTGAAGCATAAACTAGATTTTTTAATCCAACATTATTTCTTATTATAAATTAGGTACCTCCACTAATTTGCTGAAAAAAGAGCATAGCATGATGAAAAAAGGCCCCAAAGTTAATAAAAACAAAGTTTTATTGTCAAAATGTTTGTTATTAACAGGAAAGACCAAAGTATTTTTAATTATTTTAAAAAAATTTTTTCCTTTCTAACACATTTGAAATTTTTGTTAAAATCTTCCTTTTATGCATCAATGGTGTAACAGAACTGGTAATGGATGTTTTTGTGCCTGTTTTTCAGTAAAACAACACATTAATTTGGAAAGTCTTACAAAAATCAAATAATTGTCAGATTTTAATGAAACCATCAGGACTTATTCATAAAATGAGTGAATTTATTTTTGAAATTATTATTTTTTAGAAAATCTTGGTAAAAATAGGTTTGTTGTTTTTTTTTTACATTTGTTAGCCCCCACACTTACATAATTTCATGAAATTTCTAGAAATTAAATTCCATACTCCAAATTTTTTTTATTAGTTAAAAACAGGAATCCTTGAAGAATGTAAATCAATTTTTTTTTTTTTTCAAATTATTGTTGCTTTCCCTAATATCTGCTGTGAATTGTGAAATAAAAACTATCTAATTATTTAATTTGATAAGCTTTTAATTGCTTTTATAAATAATATATATTAAGGACATTATAGTCTGAAGAAAAATAATTTTTTTCGATGAATAATGAATTTTTACAAGAATTTTTTTTTTAACTATAATAATTTATAAAGTTTCAAAAATGTTTTAAAAATTCTTCCAAACTTAGTCTTCATTTAGTTATTAAGTGAAGGTTATATTTACTAAGTGAAAATTGGACAGCGTAATACAAATCATAATGCAGTTATATTTTTAAGATTAGTGAGTACTTAACCCTAGAACACTAACCATGGGTATATAGTAACCAGTGCAAATTTTCCTATTTTTAATTACAATTTTCAGTACCTGATTTTCTTACCTAAATAATGTTTTTCAGTTCCTATTAATGTTAACTCAAAGTACAAAGTTTGAAGTACCTGCATGTAAAATATTTCAAATAAAGATTTTTATTTAATATTTTTTTTGATATTTTCAAAATCAGGTATGATATACCCATGTTTAGTAGTGGTGTAACTTTGAGGGTTAGTGTTCTAGGGTTAATTATATAAAAACAACATTCACGCATCATTTTCTTAAATTATCTTTTAACAGATAAGGTCTATGTAGAACAATAAGTTTCAACACCTTATAGATTACTTGATGAGAGATTTATAAAGTGCTGACAAGCAGCTACTGTTTGCTTAAAAAATCCATTTCTCTGTTATTTTCAACTTAAAATAATATTTGTTTCAAATCAGGTTAATTATACTTTAAATTAGCTAATATTCCTCAAATAAAGTTTCAGAAAAGTATTAATTTAATAAAGAAAAAATCATTACAATGACATGTGGCTAAAAAAGGGCATTAATCAGTTATTTTTAGTTTCTACAATAAGTCTGAATTTTGTTGAACTAACAGCCAATGTAACCTATGGGAATAGATTTAGGGCTAAAAACATTGTTATTGGCATAGTGAGATGGCTGAGCTGTAAAAAGATTTCATAAATGTATAAAAGGTAGAGTAAGAAAAGAAAATTCACCCTGCAAAGTCGAATAGCCTTTTCTTCTTTGGACTTTAGCAGCTTGACTTCATTATTCAAATGGGTATTGGTTGTCTGGAGAGACTGAAACAAAATGAAGAGAAGTCAGTCATTTACACCGATAAGGCAAGTGAAGGAGAGGGTAAGAAACAAAGAAAAAAATAACTTATTCAGAGGATGAATATGAATAGAGGAAAAATAGTGCAAGACTTTCATTAATGACAACATGACACAACATTGTTGGCGGAAAAGCATTTTTAGTCTACAAGTAAATAATTTTAAATAACATTTTAATATTTTCAAAATTGCATGCATAAACAGTCAAGATTTGTTAGAGTGAATTGTCTTCTTCAAATTTAATAATTTTAAGGAATGTGAACAAATAAAGATAAATAATGAAATTTGCAATTTTGTTGATGTCACTTTTTAGAGAAATTTTACAGATGTTACTTTTACAGAAATTTATAATGAGAGGATTTATCATTGAAAGAAAGAAAAAAAAGAAGATTTTTGCATGGTTTCAAATATTTCATCATAACATTTTTTTTAAATGACATGTAACCAACTGATAATTTACCCTATTTAGTGCTTTATCAACATTTCTCGCTCATAGCCTTTGGAGAAAAATGCATACTTTCATGAGGAAGTACAGAAAAGTTGTTGGCCTCACCAAGAAACCATTTCTACAAAGAATCTGATATTTGGTCAGATTTTGGGAAGTGGGTCAGACTGAGAACTCTTCAGCATTACACTTGTATGAATTTAACACTTATTACCATTTAATATAATAATTTTTCTATTTAAAGAATTAAATGAGTAAAAGGGGAAAGCAGATTCAATAGGCTGATTGGAATACCTCAGAGATTGAGACTGATTCATTAGCCTGCAGAAAAGTTTCTTTCAAAAGGACTTTGGGAAAATATTGGTCAGTAATTTACTAGAGAAAATAGTAATGCTTAGATGTACGAGAAGAACTTGTTTAGCAAAGGGATAACACTGCCACAGATAAACACTGACAGTTTATTAATATGATTTAAGTAAATATGAATGATGACTTTGGTATATCAATACCTACATGAGACACAAAACCAATAATCATTTCCTTTTTGATTAATAAGTCAACCAATATAAAAGATTTGTGTTAGTAGAACCTGCCAACATGACAAGGCTTTACGGGTTTTTTACTGAAGAAAATAGATAAAGGAGTGAATTCAATATTGTTTTAGAAAATTCATTATTCTGTCCATGTTGATAGCTTTATTATTTGACAAAACTAAATTTGTTTGAGTAGAAAGGTCAGTAATTTACTAGAGAAAATAGCTACAGGTAAATAAAACATTCTACTAGAATCTTTCATACACATGTGCAGTTATTGCTGGCTTCCTTGTATATAAAAGATACTCAGTCACACAGCACTTAGACCTATGGAATAGATGATAGACACTTCTAAACAGAAATTTGTTGACCATAAATACAATTATTTAAATACACACATGCACATAGATATTGATAAATAGATCATTTTCTTGCACAGAAAAACCTGGAGGAGCCAAAGTTCTATGTATTATTTTTACACTGAAGTTTATGACCTTATTTAAAGAGCAGGGCTCCAGACTAATTTTTTTTTTTTTGTTACCCTTGTCATAGAACTATCTTGAAATTTTTTTCAAACAGTCTTGAAACCAATATGTTTATTTTTTTTTAAAACTTATCGTTTACAGCTTAGTAATATAATAAAAGCACCACTAAAATGTTTAGGAAATAATTTTTTTTATCCATTCAATCATTAAACTGGTCTGCGTGTCCTGCATCTACTACTGTTGCACTTAGGCACTGCTTTCCTTGGGTTGCATTGCTGAACAGGAGAGCTGGGAATGGAAATTTCCAAGAGGCAATTGAGCATTTCAGTTTAGTTTATGATAAGCAAAAAATGTAATACATAAATGTGATTTGTTAATGTAATGGGTCATTCAAGTCATTTAAAAAAAAAAGAAAAAAATTGAGAGTTATTACAATTAGATCATGTTTTTTTACATGCAGATAAATAATATATCTAAATTCTAATTATTCTAATAATATATCTAAATTCTAATTATTCTAATAATATATCTAAATTCTAATTATTCTAATAATATATCTAAATTCTAATTATTCTAATAATATATCTAAATTCTAATTATTCTAATTCCCAATTCATTCGCCAGTTTAAAAAGTGGTTAAATTTTGTGCATATGCATGTGCTCCATTTATTAAAAGCCCATTACCATTGGCAAGTAGTAAGGTTATTTTTTTTTTTTAAGGAAGGAGTTGTTTTTAGAATAAATTTTGTAAAATTCCAGCACTAATGCCAAAAACTTAAACAATCACCCCAAACTTATGTTCTACTGAACCAAGGATGACATTAATCTCCCTGCTATAAAGAGGAATGCAGAATAAAAGAAATAAGATAATAACCAACTGCATCAATTATAATTCCAAATAATCTCACTCCTTTTCTGGAAAGTGAGAACAGTGATGATAAAGTTAGCAAAACATAATTGTACAGTAGACAAGCCTGTCTTTTTTGTGGGAGCAAATGATTCTGTGGGACTATGTACTTGATAGCAATTTTCCCTTTGGAGATAGATTCTAAATAATAGTTTTTAAACCCAAAGCAAATATTATGGTCTCAAACAAAGGAAACATTACAAGTAGTGGCTTTTATGAAAATAAACACAAGAAGAGGGAGACAAGCAGCAAATATTATTCAGATTGAGAAAAAAAATTATAGAAAGGATGGAGAGAAAATTTATAAATTAAAAAGAAATGAGCATTAAAAGTGAAATTTAAATTAAAGAAATCTAATAATTGTAGCATTAATCTTGGAAGGAAATCAAAGTATCTTACAAAAAAGAAAATTATGTTAGGTGTTCAATCCACACTTGTATGCCATTGTATCAGATTAAGTTAAACTTAATAAGTAACTAGAAAAAGAAAAATCAAATTATGATGAGAAATGAAGTATGAGGAAAAAAAGCAAAGGAGTAAAAAAAAAAAAAAAAACCCTAGAGTAATTTTATGCACTCCATGTCTGCCATGCCCATTGGAAGTGGATAGTGGTCACTTTGTCTGGGGTTGCCAGAATTATTAGGGAACTTATAAGTAAGCAGCCAAATGTGCAATTCTGCTTAACTATCCTTTAATCAATTGCAGAATTGTAAGCACAGGCCAAAATGGATTATTCAAAATTGATCAAAATATTCAGCAAACTTTACTGGCAAGAGAGAGAGAGAGAGAAATATTTTGTGCTATTTAAATTTTCAATGTAAATAAATAGAAGAGAAAATTTTCTGGAAACAACTTGTAAGTAAATTAAATTAAAAATAATTATACAAAGTTTAAAGAAAAAGAATAGAATGGTGAGCAGTCAGTTATATTTAGATGAAAATAAAAACAGAAGATGGAGGGAAAAATAATTTTATTTTTTTAAAAAAACAGAATTAACTAAAAGCAGACACAAATAAATTTAAAAAAAATAAATGGCCAGGCGAAAACCAGACAAATACAGTCAGTAAAAGAAAGGCGTATATGTATATACACACACACAATAATGTTCAGAGAAAAAATCAGAAAGAATTCTAGATCTGGACATGTACAGCTAAAACAACAACACAAGACAAATAAACAAAACCAGGTATGCATAAAAATAGAAACATGCATTGGCAAAAACAAAGATCAAGATCTGCAACAATTATTAGAAAAAGAGAGAGAAAAAAATTTGTGGATAATTTGTAAAGGAAATGGATAATAATTAAGAAAGAAATGGTTGTAGGAGGAGGCAAGATAACAGGGAATTAAAGACAATTAGAAAAACTGAAGAGAGAAAATTTAGAGAAAGAGTACTTGAGTAATCATTGATTTGACAAGCAGAAATATTCATAGAAAAAGCAGCAACTGAAAAGATAACCTCACAAACATAAACCATTTGAAGGTCAATAAAGGTTAAGTATCAAAAGAGTAAAATGAAAAGAATAAAAAAAAAAGTCCTTATTAAAAACATTAAAAAAAATCCTGTCAGTATTAAAACATTAAATTCATATTGGAAAGTAAAAAATCAATGAAAAAAGAAAAATGTGGAGATAAGATACAATCATCAATATCAAATGCTTCTTTAAATTTTTGATGAAATATGATTTTTATTTAACTTTAAAAAAAAAAAAAAGGTGGCAATGTACTGGAATCACAAGATGTATGGTACAATCTCTGAAACAAAGTTGAACAAAGCAGGTAATTTACCAAACTGTATAGGTAAAAATACCTAGTAGTAAAATATATTCTATTAAAAAAATCTAACAGAAGAAAGCATTCCAAGAGAAACCCAAACATGTCACATAAATAAATATCTGTGCACACTTAATATCATCTGGGCTCCCCTAATTAATAAATTTAGGCACAAAAAGCAGCTTCAAATTGAAGTAGGATGCAGAAAAAGCACAAGTACCTGATAAGAGTCCAAGAATGCTTCAAGGTCCACATCTTCAGCACTCTGCTCAAATAATTGCCTTCGTGGTGCCTGCATCTTGGCCCGTGCACATGCCAACACACTGTAGGTTGTGCTTGCTGTAAGCATGTGTATGCAGCTGTGAGGTGAGTTTCTCCCTTGCCAGATTGTCAAGAGCACTAGTATCACAACAATTATGATGATAACAATGATGATGGTGATACTGATTATGAGGGGGAGGGAAAAAGAGATGGATGAGGGTAGTGGAGGTGGAGGAGAGGGTGTAGTGATCGATAAAGCCAAGTGATCCATAACTGGCTAACGGATTTCAATAGACAGACCTGAGCAATCAATGTCAATATCTCATGTACTGGCATACAAGTTGCCAAAAAAAAAAAAAAAAAAGGTAGAATGAATGCCATTCAGAGTTGAGTAATCATTTCTTTAAAGAGAGGCACAAACACATATATATACGCACAGCCAATGGGCAGAGGTGAAATTTGGTGAAAAGACAAGTTGAATCTTGAGCTAAAGAATAGAAAAGCAAGACCACCACTCTGTATCTCCATTGATGGCAGTGTGTCATCATCAGCTGTCTTTTTTG